ATAGTGATCTTGTGTTGGGTTTCTGAGAAGCGGGTGGCAAGTTGGAACCACTGACCTTGTAGTTCAAACCGACATTATGGTCCAGTGCATTAACCCACTGTGCCACACCAGGACTCCCTTGTGTACATACACAGACATACATATGTATATCTGTAATTTATAGATGGAGTCCTGGTGTGGCGCTGTAGGATAAGCACTGGACTGTGAACTGCCAAGTTGGCTGTTCAAACTCATTAGCTGCTCTGTGAAAACTCTATACAGATTGCTATGAGCAGAACCAACTCAATATATTACGTTTATCTTTTAGCTATAGATATACAATGTTAGGTTCTTGTTAAGTGCTGTCAAGTTCCAAGTCATAATGCTAAAGGATAAACGCTGGACTGGTAATCACAAAGTTGGCAGTTCAAACCCACCAGTTGCTCCTTGGAAACTCTATACAGGGCTTTTATGAGTCAGATCCCCGACTTGACGTGATGGCACTTAACAATGTATTTAGATCAGGATTCCTGGTGACACAGCAGTTAAGTGGCTGAAACTCACCAACCCACCAGCCACTGTGTGAGAGAAAGCTGTGGCAGTGTAGGTTTCTATAAAGATTAGTCCTGGAAACCTATAGGGCATTTCTACTCTATCCTGTAGGGTTGCTATGAGTCAGAACTGCCTCAACAACAAGGCTTTTTTGTGTTTGTGTATTTAGATAAGAGTCTGTAGGTGGTGTAAATTATTAAAATGCTTGGCTGTTAACTGAATTGAAAGGTTAGATGTACAAGTCCACTGTGAGGTACCTTGGAAGAAAGGCTTGACAATCTATTCTGGAAAGCAGTTAGGTAAAACTCTAAGGAGCATCGTTCTACTCTGACATACTTCGGGTCACCCTAAGTCAGAATCAACCTGAAGGCAACTAGAAACCAGCATTTTCCAAAGTAACTGCAATGCTAAACATACTCTACTTTGTTAAGTGTTGTTGAGTCAGTTCTGACTCATAGTGACCTTGTACGGGCTTTCCAAGGATCAGCTGGTGGGTGGTTTTGAAGCATTGGCCTTGTGGTTCACAGTTCAGCACTTAACCTACAGAGCCACCCCAGGACTCCAGAACAAAGATACTTAAACTTGAGAGTACAGCATAAAAGGCATCTGGGAAGTTTGCATTTAAATGGAGGTTCTAGTTCAACAGTCTGAGGTGGGGCCTGAGATTCTGCTCTCCAGACTACACTTCTGAGTAACAAAGTCCTGGACAGCAAGGTTATCCAAGTAAGAAGGACACAGGACCAGACGAATGTAATTTCCAAAGTGGGTTCAAATGATAACCATTTTCTCAGTAGTTACAGTTACTTAAAAAGAAATGTCTTTAATTCTAGTTCCTGCATTACACTGTTGATGCCAATTGACTGATTATAACTTTTGTTCTACAATAAATGCATTTTCCATAAAAGAACTAGGACCAGCATTTTTCTAATAAAAAGTAGCATTCAATAAATTTTAAATTAAATTAAAATACTTTAGTAGGAGTCCTACTGTAGCAATGTAGGATAAGCACTGGACTGCAAGGTCTGTTTGAACTGAAAGGTCGACAATTCAAATCCACTAGGCACTCCTCGGAAACCCAATACAAAGTCTCTATGAGTCAGAACTGACTTTGATGGCACGAAACAACATTGTATTTTAATAACTTTTAAAAACTAACACCTGGACTGTGAACCACAAGATCTGTGGTTTGAGCCAACCAGCTGCTCTTCCAGAGAAAGATGAAGCTTTATGCTCCTCACAAAGATTCACAGCCTCAGAAACCCTATTGTCAGAACCCCACAGCACTGAATAACAACAACTAAAACATCTGAGAACTACCCAAGTTAAATATCAACTAAAAAAAACCCCTTTCCTACCTTTCAGGCTTATGAAAAGCTGTATGTCACTTGCCTAAAAGTCACTGGGTAGGTAGTGCAGATAATATAGGAAGGTCTAGCTGATG